AAAGCAGTGCCCAAATGTGAAGAAGGAGATGCAAGTGCTGAGGCAGATGGCCAGAGACAGTTCCACCCGCAGGGAGGCTGCTGCCAAAGTGCGACGTTGGCGTTCGCGCCATAGGAAAACTCCTAGGACATCCTCTGCCAAGGCCAGGCACACACCGCTACCCCATATCACGCACTCACCACCACAAGCATCAACAAGTGCCAACAACAAGCATCCTCAGAAAGACGCAAGAAACATTGACCCTGACGCGTGGCCAGCGCTGCTGTCAGTTACACCGCCAGTAGAGCCGCAGCATCGCCCGCTGAAAACTGCTTCAGAGCGAGTAAGTCATGAAAGTCAAGATAACGAAATGATAGACGTGATTAAGACCCTCATGAAGACAATTCGAGTGCTCCTGAATAATATTCAGACTTCGGCTGCCCACAGCTCTCTTCAAATATTGGACGCTTTGAATCCGGTGCTATCAAATCTAGAGAAGCACCATGGCTCTTTCTCTGCAGCCCTTCCGTAAACAAGTGAAAGAGGCATCAGTTTTCCAATGGAATGCCCGAGGTCTTAAACCCCGCATTTCGGATTTTCGGCCATATGTTTTCAAGAATAAGTTTCCAATTATCGTAATTTGTGAACCACGTCTTCACAATGCTATACGACTTTCTAAATACGAGGCTTTCAGATCTGCAACCCGTAACAAAACCAGTAAGGTCATTGTTTACATCAGGTGCGAACTCACATATATTGAGCACCCAGTAACACCGGACGACAGCAACCAATACCTGTGCCTGACAGTTAAGCGTAAGAACGTGAACTTCACGCTAGTGGCAGTATATATTTCGCCTTCAGGCCGCTTCGACACAGCAATATTAAGGGCCATTATATCAGCGACACCTGGGCCATGGATTATTACCGGTGATTTTTACGCTCATCACCCCCTGTGGGGAAGCCAAAAGATGGACCGTCGGGGAAGAAATGTGTCCTCCTTTGTATCTGACCACCAACTATATTGTTTAAATGATGGCACTCCCACGTTTTTACGGGGTCTGACATATAGTAGCTGTCCCGACCTAACTTTTGTGTCAAGTAGCCTAAGTACCAAGGTGCAGTGGTTTGCGGACAATGAAACACATGGCAGTGACCACATCCCTACCTATATTAAAGATTAAGGGGCTAAGCAAGTCGCAAATCGCACCCGCTTCACGGATAGACTGGTCAAAGTACAGATCATCCACAGAGAAGCAATGCGAGAGAAACCAAGAAGGTTCTCTTGAAAGCCTATAAGGTATAATGAAGGCCGCTATCCAAGAGGCAACGTTTAATTGTGGACCTTTGCCAGATTTTCGCAAATATGAGGTGGAGTTGGAGCGACTTCGCGCAATCCGTCGTCGCACCGAACGACGTTATAGGCGCACGCAATCCATTTACGACTTGAGGGAAGCGAGACGTCTACAAAAGAAGATTCAACGTCGAATCAATGCACTACAGTCGCTACGATGGAAGCCACTATGCGAGTCGCTCGATCCCCACAAACCTCTTTCGCAAATATGGAGAATAATCCGCGGCCTACGAACATTGCCAAAACAGCATCGTCCGTTCAAATGCCTTGCTCTCCACCAAAGCCGGCGTGAAATCGATGTAGCGGAAGACTTCTGTGGCAGTGTTGCAAACAAGGAGTCCGGGATCAACATGAGTAAGCTACGAAACGCGCCGGTGTCCAGAGCCACTCGGATGGACAATATGTTTTCTCTAGAGGAGCTTCAGGCAGAATTGGCAGCATGCAAGCGCTCGTCATCTCCTGGACCCGATAGAGTCACTTACATGGCCCTTGCTAACCTAGGACGAACAGCTCGGCGGGCCCTTCTAGCTGTATACAATGACTCGTAGAGTTCCTCCTTCGTGGAAGTGCAGCCGCCTTGTGCCCCTGCTCAAACCAGGCAAATCGCCTCTGGACATGGCCTCCTATCGCCCCATCGCGCTTGCCAGGTGTTTTGGAAAGGTTATGGAGAGAATGGTGCTGACTCGCCTGGAGTGGTACTTGGAACTTAACAATATATACCCCGATGCTTTGACCGGTTTTCGACGTGGACGGTCTTTCATAGACAATGTTGTTTATCTTGTCACGTCTGCACAACAGCAGAAAAACCAAAAGAGATTATCAGCGGCACTTTTCTTGGATATTAAGGCTGCATACGACAATGTACTACATGAAACCATCCTGACGCCTTGGGCAGCATTGGATTGGGAGGCCGCGTTTACCAATGAATCTACAGCTATTTGACGGACAGAACCTTCTTCGTTCAGACAGAATATGGCGCAACAAGGCAACATCATACTTATCGCGGCGTACCTCAAGGTGGGGTCCTAAGCCCCATACTTTTCAACCTTGCGCTCCTCGGCCTCGTTGACGTCCTGCCACACACCGTATATCTGTCGATATACGTGGACGACATCTGCATCTGGGCATCAGGGTTCACGCGTCCACACGTACGAGCCAGGCTTCAGACAGCGGCTACCCTGACGTCAAACTACCTTCAAGGACGAGGACTGGAGCTGTCACCTGAGAAATTCTCACTGGTTGCATTTACGCGCAAGACAGTGACGCCATACCGCATCAGAATTAATGGACACACGATCAGCTATCAAAAGACTCACCGTTTCCTGGGAGTAATAATAGATCGTGATTTGTCTTGGAGCCCTCATATCGCTCACATGAAGAAGAAACTGACCATGATCACCCACGTCCTAAGGTTTCTTGCTAGAAAATCATGGGGTGCATCGGTATGAGCCATGCTTCAACTGTATGCTGCACTTTTTCTTGGCTTCATACGCTACAGCCTACCTGTGCTTGGCAAAGCCCGCATAACAAACGTACACGTCCTCCAGTCATTACAAGCGCTCAAGCACTGAGAATATGTCTCGGGCTGCCGAGATGCGCATCCTTAGCAGCGACTGCCACAGTCGCTCATAGACACCCTATCACAACCCACATTCGTGTCGATGCTTTAAGAACGCACATAAGACATGCCACCCGGATTCAATCGCATCACCTCGCCTCCCTTCCAACTTCCAGGCCACGCTCTTCGTTCTGCTCTATTATTGCCCCACATAGCATGGTGATTCCCACGAACTTCACGCACGCAGCAAGACCGTCGTTACCATTGTGGTGTCTACATCCATTGGAAACTCTGATAACCATCCCCGGAATGCAAAAGAAGTAAAATGTGTCAAATTTGGCCCTAAAACAAACAACATTACTGTTTCTGCATGAGAAACAAAGTGGACGCATACACATTTACACGGATGGGTCGGTCACTTCAACAAGTTCAACAGGCGCAGTGGCAATTTCGGAGAAATCTATTACGATAAAGTTCAGGGCCTCGCATCTGACATCATCCACGGCGGCAGAACTCGCCGCCATTCGTGGCGCTCTGGAGTTCCTAGTTGAAGAACCGCAACAGACATGGTCAATATTCTCCGACCCCAAAGCAGCTCTCCAGGGCATTGCCTAGCCATATCGTCATGAACCAAACGAACAGCTAATTGCTGAAATACGATTGCTTCATTACCGGGCTATAGAGAAACAACATGACATAGCGTATCAATGGATACCAGGCCACTGCAGCATTGATGGAAACGACCATGCAGAGGAAGCAGCCCGAACTGCTCATGATGATGCCCCTTGTGTAGCTATACCATTATCAAGAACGGACGCCGCTGCAAGGCTTCCATCACTTGCATGAGAACTGACACTCGCTCAGTGGAATTCACCGGCACTCACCAACGTCCGCCTTCATAATTTGGACCCACACCTACAGCTCCGTCTTCCATCAGGAATAACCAGAGCAGAGGAGACACTTTTGTGCTGTCTGTGTATTGGGGTGGCCTTTACGAATGCTTATTCCTTTCGGATCGGAATGGCCAGCAGCCCGACATGTGACAACTGTGGCTGCGCAGAGACTTCCTCCCATCTTCTCTGCGAGTGTCCTCGCTTCAGCGTGCCAAGAAAATAACTGCCGAAAGCTTTAGATAGAATAGACAATCGCCAATTGTCGGAAGAAAGGGTGTTAGGACACTGGCCGAGACCGTCCTCTGCACGCAAGGCATTGAGAGCGTTGTTGCGCTTTCTGCGGGCAAGTGGTCTTAGAGACAGACTGTAAACAGCGTCGTGGATCGTCTGATGACCTTCTCTCTCTTTTTTTAACGTCTCTTTTCCCTCATCCTTTATCCCCCTTACCCTCTTCCCCAGTACAGGGTAGCCAGCCGATCTGAGAACTGGCTAACCTCCCTGTTTTTCCTCATTTATTCCTCCTCCTCATCACGCGTACTTGCTCATGGTTAAACATAGCGTAATACTACAATAGTATGATACACAGTATTATACTACGGTATAGGTAGATGTCTACAAAAAAGCCACATCATCAAGGTAGTAATGTCTGGAAACGATTCGCCTAAAACTCCCGATGAAAGCTCGTTTTGTGAAGGTGCTTCGCAAACCACATAACCCGATGTTCTTTTCCCTTGCTCAAATACCTCAACAGGTCTCACAAAGCCGCATCTAGGTGTAACAATCACCGTCTCGGTACACGCGACTAAAGCCAGACAATCAGCTATGAAATGCACATAGGTATTTTTTTCGCTCGGAGAATGGAAATACATTATTTTAAAGTAAGAACGCAGCGCATTCGCTTTTTTTGTCTATCGGCAATCGCTGGTGGACCAACTTATAGCTAGCCGAGCCTGCCGTTGTGCTTTGGTGCCAGTTCTATGTGTGTCGGGTATGGCGGATGCTGTGATTTTACTGCGGTACAGTGTATTGACTTCTTCCGTACCGAGGTCAGGAACCTCAAGAGTACGTCGGGAACATGGCGTATAATCTTTTCCATTTCCATGAAGATAAACACTAAATCGCGGTTCAACGGGCGGCTAAAGCCAGTGGGGCAGTGGATTCATAAACTTTTTTTCTGTCTTATTTTGCTTACTTGCAACGCAGCCCTTGAGGTGTACGGTCGCCTCTGGTGTCAGTGCACGGTGGTGCATGCCGGATGAGCCTGGTGAAGGTGGTGGTGCTGGGCGCGCCGGCGGTGGGCAAGACATCCATCATCCACCAGTTTGTGTGGAGCGAGTTCAGCGAAACATACGTGCCCACCGAGAGCCGACGCACTTACCACCCGTCGGTGGTGGTGAACGGACGCCTCTACGACTTGCAGGTAAACCGACATGCAATATCGGCCTTCTCAGCATTGCTTAACGAAGTTCGTTGAGGGGGTAGTGAATTCATAATCAGGAGCACTAAATAAAGCACTTTTTTGTTTTCTGAATGAACTATGTCAAACCACTAAAAAGCAGATGGCCTAATGCACATATCCTTGAAAGCAGTGAAGATGAGAGATAGAGACGTCTATCACGTTATTAAGGCTTCAGTATCACAACAATATATTCCGAGTTCTTATTTCCTTGTCTCTATCTCTGTGGTTTTTGGGCTGACAGATGGTATTTATCTTTCACGTTATTATGACCTTCTTAGGGGCTCCTTAAATGCGTACTGGTACAGTTATCAATCGGTCGTTTTCATTACCGTCAAGTTCATCTCCACTTCGCTGTCGCAGGTGACGGACCTTCCCGTGGTGCCGTACTTCCCGGCCAACTCGTTCTACGAGTGGAGCGACTTCCGCTACTGCGGCCTGCGCAGCGCGTCCGCCTACGTCCTCGTGTTCGATCTGAATGCGCCGGAGACCTTCCAGTACGTGAAGAACATGCGCGAGCAGATCGTCGAGTCGCGCAACATGCAGGGCGTGCCCGTCTTTGTGGTCGGCAACAAGCACGACCTGGGCGAACCCCGCGAGCACCGCGAAGTGGCCGGCCTCGTCAAGAAGCACTGGCGATGCGGCTACGTCGAGTGCTCGGCCAAGTACAACTGGCACGTTGGTCTGCTCTTCCGAGAGATTGTGCGAGCCCTGGACGATGGGGGAGGACTCGGTGCGTGGGGAGCCGGCGACCAGGGTCGAAGGGACCGCTGTCGCATCCTATGACGCCGGCGATCGGCGTTGGTGTGAACGAGCAAACATTGCTTGCAGGCCACGAATACCCTTCGCTGCGATGAAAGACCGAACTTGGGGGCAGGGATCAGTTTTACTTCTCTGTAGCCAGGGCCAGGAAAGCGAAGTGTTCTCGAATTTTTATTGCAAAAGAAGCACCAGTAACTAATGTCACCGGGAGGTATGTATAAAATAAGCCGGTGTCTAATTTTCTTTGTTATGAGGGAAGAAAAACTGAAAAGACACGACGAAAACATTCTCACTAAGCACTAAGGTACTACTAACACTGGTTTATGTTGGTGGTATCGACGCCTGCTTTTGCGAAGGTGCGACATACTCATAAGCAATTCCCCCAATTGGCAACTACAAACAGCACTACACACACTACTCTACTCCTGTCAACCTGCTCATCACGATCTACTGTGACTTTGGATTCCTGCACACAGGGAATCGGTGTGCGTGAACATGATAGTTAATGGACGCAGGCTGTGCAGCTGCAGTGGCTCAACACTTCAGTCTTTATGGTCACGACAGTCGTGTCTTGAAAGTCTAGGGACACTGAATCGTGACTTGCATCTTAGTGAAAAAGACAGCAGTCCGTACTTGTTGATTTCTGTAGGGAAGTTTTGTCGTCGTCAAGACTACACGAGCGGTTAGCTTTCACCCTTTCCGTGTATCTCTTGTGTGCAATAATCGATGCGTCGATTTAGTTTCGTTGTGCCGTAGGTTGTTTAATGCTACGTGTGCAGCCGCTAGGAGGAGAGATTGCGTGGACGCGAATGATGCGACAGATATTTCCGGATTCTCCTGCTTACTGAAACTTACTCAGGTTATTGGTCTGTGGTGAAATATGGCAAGCAGGCAATGAGAGCTGGGCCATCCGTTTTGTCTGCAAGAATGGAGTCAGCGTCTCGTGAGCTGTAGCTAGCTTGAATTTCAATCACACATGCTGTCGTTTTCACTGCAGTTAAAACAGCTGGTTTCCACCTCAGAGAAATGCAAGATCTATCCACATTGCAGTGGCGTGTCTGCCATTCGACGGTGTAAAATAGTTCGACTTGCTGTTTTCCGTTCAAAGTGCATTCTTTCTCAGCGGGTGAAAGCATTCTCCACAAGGCGAAATGAAACTTGTTGCTACCTAAAACATTACCTTTGATAATCGCTAGAATGATCAGCAGTGGTCTCATAAACTTTGCTAATATGTTCAAGTTTATGAAATTAAATCACTTTGCAAACGTATTTTCGTGTAAAGAACTTAGATTCATTAAACGCGTAAAAGCGTATTCACATCTCGAAAATGTGAAAGCGGGATCATTATACCTGGGAGGAAGAGCAACTAGACAGCACATGTATTTCTCGCTTAGGTTGTAATCTGAAATGTGCCGTTGAATGAAGCAGATTCCCACGACGCGTATTGTTCTGTAACGTATGATGTTATACATCCTACATCTTATTTATTGTCTGAGAGAAGTTTCGTACGGGGTCCTGGAAAAAAAATCAAACGCCGAATTCAAATATGTTCACAAGCAAACGGTTATTGTGGAATCTGATGGCGATCCTTCGATTCCGATGCTTCAAGTTTGCGAAGATTGTGCAGGAAAATGACCTTTTATAGATGATACGCAACTGGTAAACTACATTACAGGAATGTTCTCAATAGAAACGAGGCTTCGAAAACATGGCATAGAGTTTTCAGTTTCCTGCATCATCCCCTGCTTTGTTATGCTCCACCAAAAGTCAGGAGTGAAGTTAACGAGAGCTATCGCACAAATATTTGTGACGTAGTTTAGGATAGTGGATGTCTAGGGCGGCAGGAATATTTAGACAACTTTCATAAACAACGCCGACGTTTTATAGTGCTGATTACTTCGTAAGACGTTACTCGATTAAGTGCATGCGAAGGTTTCAGCGTAAAATACCTGGAAGAAGCACGGAGACACTCGAGTTATCTTTGATATACATTAGTAAACTTGTTGTTGGGCTTGTTGGTGCGCATTACATGTGCGTATACAACGGGACCTCCTCAAACTCAGCGTCGTTTTGTAGTCTCTTGCGTCCCAAATGAAAATAGAAATTTAGCACAAGCTTTATTAAGCAGGTAAAACTTTTCTGGAAGTCTGTGTAGAAAATTCGCTATATAACTGAGCCGTATAGTGCTAATAAACGTTTCGATCTCGAACGCAGTGGCAGATGTCCCGTTGATTCTGTCGAACTAATCTCTGTAGACGTTTTCCATTAGCCTCGACGGCGACGCCTAAGTTCATCCAATGAAGCGGGTATGAAAAAAGAGAAGCGTAACCCTGAAAATTACAGCCCCGTTCTCAAAAATTTATGCAGACAGACCTTTATGCCAAAGGTTCATTTCGTTTTTGCTATTTGAGTACGCACTAAATTCATTATTGAATTCTATTCACCCGTCAATTGTGGGATGGTGTAGTCACAAAGTGAAACAGTTTGCCATTGACGCAGAATGGTAATTGCAAGTGTGAGTGAAACCTCAAGAATAAGCCAAGAATAAGCCATTCTATCACCGCTTTACGTAACTGTCATGTCTCAGTTGAACAACGGCATATAATGCAACAGGAACGTAGCCACATAAGAAAAAAAATGTGTTTGTACTTGCCTGTCATTTTATTATGCCACTGCTTTTCTCTTGTCAAAAACACTTCGTCAATATTGTAGCATTAGTTGGTACCACCTCTTTACAGGCTACTGACCAGGTTATAACAGAATTTTGTGCCGTTTAACAACGTCGGTGTCGTAGATGTGGCATTTAGGTTTTTTGAAATACTCAGACCACCGCTAAATTATAGTGGTCGAACCACTTCGTTGATTGAAGTGTATGGCTCATTTCTGCGGTACTCCTTGTATTACCGATTGCCACAGTGCATATCCTTTGCTCTGCAATGATTAACATGTTAGTTACTTAGGAGCTGTGCTATTGCACAGGCCTATCTGCACGGAAGTGTTATATCACTGCGTCATACGTGTTTATATGCCATATGGTCGAACACAGTTTCTGTGCGCCCAGGTCCACAGTACAGGTCATTTCGATTTTTAAATCTTTTTTTTTCAGTGTATTTATTTTTACACAACCGCAAACGATAGATTCTTTCTTGGTAAACTAGTTTAGGTGAAGCACAACTCACCCACATTTGTCTCCTATTCCGTTTGAGGTGAAATCTGCAACGTTGAATTAGCTCCTTGCAAGGAACAAAATACCTACTAAAGTGTAGCGTGAAACTTAAAGTCAAATAAATAGGTTTGTCATGGAATAGCTTCCATTCGATCGGTAGTGCATGAACAATGCAAGAACAATGTGATATGCTCATAAAACGGGGGCGTGTGTTTGTAGGTTACCGTGTTTTCCTTGTGTTGTCCCTTGCACTGAAAGGCTCAAAGGGACTGTCAGTATCTTGGTAAGAGGATCGTATACGGGGCATATGCCATTCAGGTGGATTCGCTCAAAGATCTCAACTAACCAGAAGACCAAACTCAGGTCAAAACTCAGTGACTGTATTCTTCTGTATACAGAGGAATCCACAGTCACTGAGTTGTACACAATTAGGTCCCAGAAGAATTCTCTTACTTGTGTGTGCGATGATCTTTCGTGTTCATTAATCTCATCCCTGCTTTCTTATTCACCCGTAACTTTACTTGCACTGCGATAACATAAAGTCTGCTCAGCTATAATATGTCCTGTTGTTCTGGTCAGCTACGATATCGCTGAGCAACCAGTTCAGAAAAGTGAAGATCTCATCAAGTCTAGTCCCAAGGCAAGGACGCTCTGGAAAGAAATGGCTAACTTCCTATTGAAGGAACTGTGTAATTATCCTTACAGGTGATAGTATTTTCTTTTCAGGGAGATTCTATTTATTTGCAAATATCTAATAGATTTAAAATTCGTGTTCATCGGCAGACCTCCTAATGAAAAAATTATTACATAATGACTATTTTGCACTCGTCCCTTTTTGCACTTCAATTTCTGATAGCTTCGCACCTTCCGACCTGATAAAAAGTTTCCTCCTGTGACGACTGAATATTTGTGACACTCAATGCAAAGAAATAGAACAAATACAAGACAGCGTGCTGCTCGCTTTTAATAAATAGGAGAGGAGCGTGCATTTAAAGGAAAAATTTATTAAAAACTGGTTGGCTCTTACCATGTGTCCACGACAGCAGGAACAAAGACATCACTTCCATCACTGATGCCCGTGCCAAGCTGGTTGTTACGCGTTATCGCGTTACTGCGCAAATGAAATACAGTATGTTGTGACTCAGTACGTACGCTCATGTAGCTTTCATATAACACACGCTCGCATAACATGTCCACGCACTGATCTCACAGAATCATGTAGGATCTTATGCAAATGAACAAGTTCTTGTCTGATGATAGGCTATTGTATACGGGATCCCGGCGTGGTGATTCATGGAAACTCGTCAATGCGAACTCATTATTTGTAGAGACTACAGTATATGTAAACCGTAACAACGCTCTATGACGGGCACGGAATATTACAAAAGTACTTCTTGGGGTTCATGCTAATAAACTGTAGACCCTGTTGCCAAAACCTTATTGTTATTTGGAGACTCAATTTATCGCGTTTTTCTGCTTTTACACCTCGGTGGCACAGACCTGCTCTATTTCAGATTTTGCCCATTGTTTCTCTGAAGGATAGAGTTGGTCAACCGTGTTCTGTTGCGCAAGATATCACTGACTGTAACGCGGCCAAAGATATCTGGGTTCCTTCATATATTGCATAACTGCTGTCATGAAAAATAAAGCCAGATACTCCTGTTGATACCTGTGGGTGAGAACTGTACCTGTTTTTAGATGAATGAGTTTCTAGGACAGCTTTGTCTTGGTGTTCATGGTAGGACACTGTCAATGTGTTAGTTTAGCGAAATAAAAGCAGAGAAATTGGGTTGTGTACTTTGTATTGTTATGGCTATGTCCAATTTTTTTTTATTCCTGGAGGGTGTAAAAATTTACAGAACCCTCACTGCTGCTGTTATGGGCCAATGACGCACAGTGTCTCTATCATTTTAGTTTCTGTACGTCCCGTCTTTGTGCAGGAAGTCTTGCGCCTATAAATGTCTTGGTCAATGCTTCGGTCAATGTCTAGGGACAATCGTGAAAGAAAAAAAACTGTACACATCTACATTATGCCTTTATACCAAATTCTTCAATATGAAATTGTCTATTAGGTTGGCAAAAAAACCTCTAAACAAAAAATAACGCATATGAGGAAACCGACCGGTGAGAATACCTTTTATCATGCACCAAGATTTCTGTATATTTTCGCAAATTTTGTACTCTATCATTTACAGTCTTTTTATGTTTTGTAAAATTGATAAACTACTCATTTTTGACCGATCATCTACAGTGGTTCTTAGCCAAATGTAACGGGCGGACAAGTCGAGGTCAAAATTTTTCTTTATATGGCGTTGAAAAGGGGTTTATTGGTGACTGTTGCGACGGTGGCCCTACGATGAAAACACGATCGGGAAAGAGCAACGGTCAAGCAGATGCCGGCGATGATCAGCACGAGCCAAGCGAGAGAAGCCCAGCACCCAGTACCCAAGCGGTGGCGATGTTGCTTGCCAACGATGCGTTTTCTTCTTCACAATTTGCCCCCACCGAAAAAAAGCCATCCTGGCGACCTAAGATTCTGGAGGCAGAGGGCTATGATATGGCTTAAGGCGGGCGACGTGGACGATGTCACGTCCACGCCAGCGCATGTCGTCAGATGGGGAAAGTGGCTCAATGAGAAAATTCACCGGCGAGGTTTGCTCCGAAACGCGGTATGGGCCCTTGTACTTTGGAACGAGTTTTGGGGAAAGGCCGGGGGTTTGGTAAGGAACAGCCAGCCATACAAGTGATCCCAGGGAATAGCTGTGGCTTTGTGAAGAATCGGCGTTGTTTCCTTTCTGGCGCTGCGGTTCTTGTGACGTAAAGGTGCGTGCGAGTTCACGGCACTCTTCCGCATTTCGGGCAGCTTCGGACACAGATGGGCATTCGGATGCGTCAGGACGGTACGGAAGGAGAGTGTCGATGGTGTAGGATGGTTTGCGTCCATAAAGAAGAATGAAAGGTGAAAATACAGTGGTAGACTGTGTAGCGGTGTTGTTTGCGCACGTGATGAATGGAAGAATGCGATCCCAGTTAGTATGATCGGATGCCACATACATCGCGAGCTTATCGCCAAGGGTGCGGTTAAATCTCTCCGTGAGCCCGT